GGGTTCTGAAACTTTAGTAAGCAGCAGAATCACCTGCAAAGCTTAGTAGACACAGATGCAGGGCTCAAACTTCTCCAAGAATTTTCATTTCTAACGAGTTCCCAGAGGATGCTGATGCTGCTGGTCCAGGGACCACTCTTTGAGAACTACTAAATCAATCCACCCATTCTCCTTTGTTAGATACTCACTTTCCTAACCACTCTTTGCAGGTGGAAATGGTCATGTCACCCAGTTCTGGTCAATGAGATAGAAGGGCAAGTCTGCAGGGTAACTTCTGGGAAAGATTTTTCTCTCCCATAAAAGTAGAAATTTTTGTCTTGCATTAAATGTGATTGAGTGAAAACATGATCTTTGGTCCTGAGGTAGCCATCTTGCAAACCAAGGGGTAACAAGGCTGAGGATGGAAAGTCAATGTGCCAAGGAGAGCAGAGCAGAAAGAGAACAAACCTGGTATACTTGTGTGATAGCATGATTTATATTAAGAAATATATATTTGGTCTCCATCCCCAACCGTTCCTAGGACAGAGCTCCTAAAATCCTTGGAATTTCCTGTGATGGGAACGATATGGGTGTCTTTTGTGACGTTAATGTGGTGACTTTTGGGTTACCTAAGGATGGGGCTGGTTGCCAGGAGAACCAACCAGGAATAAAGGGTTGGAACTTTCAGTCCCACTCCCTGATTTCTGAGAGAGGAGAGGCTGGAGGTTGAATCAATCACCAATGGCCAATGATTGAATCCATCCGGCTTATGTAACAAAGTCTCCATAAAAACCCGAAAGGAGGAGGTGCAGGGAGCTTCCAGGCTGGTGAACCAGAACACTCCCAGGTGCCACCTCACCAGGCCTGAACTTCCACAAGGACAGAAGCTCCTTTGTTCAGGACCTTACCCTGTGTATTTTTTCAACTGGCTGTTGATTCGTATCCTGTAATATCTTTTGTAGTAAACCTGTAATCTAGTGAGTAAACTGGTTTCCCGAGTTCTGTGAGCCACTCTAGCAAATTAATTGAACCTGAGGAGGAGGTTTTGGGACCCTCTGATCTTTGCCATTCAGTCAGAAGCTTAGGTAACCATCTGGACTTACCTGAACTGGACGCGTCGTCTTGTAGGATTGAGCCCTTAATTTGTGGGATCTGATGTGATGTCCAAGTAGACAGTATCAGAATTGAATTGAATTGTAGGACACCCAGCTGGTGTCAGAGAATTGTTTGGTGGTGTGGGAAAAAATCCATATATCGAAACTGGTACCAGAATCCTTAATGTATCACTGGGGAAGTGATGCACTAAATCTGAAACAACCTTCCTCCAGGCTTCTTGCTATTCGACACAAGTAAGTGTCAAATTCTTAACCCACTGTTAATCAGTATGGGGAAGCAAAGTCCATTCTCCTGGCCTCATGCTCTATGTGGAAGAACTTCAGCTGGAGTAACACTGTGGACCTCCAACCTCACTGCTCAACCCGATGGGTGACTTAGCTGGTGGACTTAGCAAAAGGGATTGAGTTCCTCCAGCTCAGCCCCCTTCTTCTCCCATTTGAAACCATCTCCTGCAGGAAGGTGCACTCTGTTTTTCTCTCTATGATGTAGCAAGGTTAGTGGGCCCTCATCGAGGAGGCCTGTGCTAATGATGACTGAGAGGATGTGGGAGGCAGAATTTCTAAAATAGCCTTTGAAGATGTCCTACCCTGATCCCCAGAACCTGAGAGATGATGAGCTATCACTCCTGTGACTGCGGGATGTTACATAGCACAATTGACCTTAAGATAGGGAGATGACCTGCAGGAGCCTGATCTAATCACATGAGCCCTTAAAAGCATAGCACTTTCTCTGGCTGATTCTGGTGGCAGAGGGGTAGAGGGGAAGTCAGAGAGATACAAGAAGGTTTCCGTGCCTGCTCTGAAGATGGAGGGGCCTTGTGCCAAGTAATGAAGGTGACCTCTAGAAGCTAGGAATGGACTCTACTTGAGAACCAGCAAGGAAACAGGAATCTCAGTCCTACAACCACAGGGAACCTTCTTTTTTTGCCAAAACCTGAATGAATTTGGAAGCAGATTCTTCCCTAGATCCAGACCCCAGCCTGGCTGACACCTTGATTTCAGCCTTGTGATATCCTGAGCACAGCACACAGCCAAGCCTGACGGGACTTCTGACCTACAGAACTGAGGCTGACAAATGGGTGTTGTTTGAAGCATCTACATATGTGATAGTGTGTTATACCACAGCAGAAAACATACAGCAGGGAAGTCTTTCTAACTCAGAGTGAACTGGTTAGTAAGTCCTTTTGGCATCAGGGCTAAAACCACATTCTGTGATCAGCTTGTCAGCAATAAATCTCCACCTGACTCCTATGTCTATTTCTTACTTAGTTCTGAACTTCAGAGGAGAAAAAGGAACTTTTACTTATTCACCCCATAAAAACTCCAACAGTCAGGCATCTTATTACTCTGTAGCCAAAGCATTCCTAAATAATACAGCAACCCTCAGCAATTTTTTAAAATAAGGCTCAGACCTGGGATGTGGTAGAAGGACCCAAATCACATCACCTCAGACTCCAGGCACCTAGAAGGCTGATCTTATATTGTACCTTTACTCCACAAAAAAAAAAAAAAAAAAAAAAAATCCTCTCTTCCCAAGAGCTGAAAGAAAACGTCACAGATGAAGGGGAAGTCTTAACAAGCACTGAGTAGGGGAAAGAAAGTAAACTTTCCCCGGGGGAACTGAAAATTTACACGGAGCTTTGTTGGTGCATACAATTTTCAACTCTCAAATAATCACCTTGGCGTAACTGGCCCTTTAGGGGTAGTTTAAATGAATGGCAAAGAACTTTGTGATTTTTCTACCAAAACTACACACAGAAAGCAAACTGCTGCAGGATCGGTTGTTTGTATATTCAGGAAGAGTGCTTACATTCCTCCTGGAACCCAGTCATCCCTTCCAACAGGATCTTCCAACACTCTGCAAATGCATACATCATGGTGATTCGATAACACAGCCCCATCTCCTTCCTAAAAGATGCCCAGTCTTTGATGGCGCTGCAAGGAGCTCTGTGGGCCAGCAGCATAAAAATGAAATGTGAGATGGTTACGGCTCTGTCCCAGAGTCTGTTGAAGGATCCACTTGAGAGGCAGCTTTAGGGAAGGAGAACTGCACTCTCTCTGTAGTCCGAAATTCATTAGGCGAAAGGAGGTCCTCAAATGTGGTAGCAGATGTAGTGAAAACGATGGCCACCTCTTCCCTCACTCAGAATACGGTAACTACATTTTATTTTTGGTAAAGGAGGATTTTGCAAGCTTTTAACCAATCCTTTCTTTCTACAAATAAGGAAAGTGAGATCTACAGAAGCTACATAAAAACAAAAATGCCAGATCAGTCATTTCTCCATTTGAATTCTGTGCTTCTGAGTGTTCAATCCGCCAGATTCATTTTTCTCTAACCAGGAAGGCCATGAGGCCACGGCTTAAAGGGAAACTCTGAGAAGTTCAAAAAAGCTCTTGGAGACGGGGTTGTCATGTCTGGTTTGGGGAGCTGAACATCTGAGAAGCACAGAAGATGAGCACTGATGGTTTCCATGGTGACCACGGAGCCCAGGTGCAGGCTCTAATGAGGCCGGCTGGCCAGCCAGCACTTAGGGAACAAAGATTGTGGGACATTCCAGAAAAACCCACACACCGCCAAGCTACTCAGATGAAATCTGAGCGGGTGGCTAGCCTGCCAACGAGAGCTTCTTTCAGGAGACACACACACAGCAGCTCTGAACTCTATGTGTCTGGCCCTGTGCCAAGCTCTTTTCCATATATTATTTCATTTAATCATCAACAAAACCTTATAAAGTGGATTCGAATTCTATATCCCCTTTTGCCGGCGAGTAAAGCGAGGCAGCTCACCCAGGATCACTGAGTTTGTCAAAGGTGACTCTGAGCCAGCCATAGTTCCTGATTCCCCCACTCTGACAAATCTTCTGAAATGGCTCACCTGGGGAGTTCCCTCACATTCTTCTAAAGAGAAGCTTAAGTCATGATTTCTTGTCTCAGAGGGAAAAACAAGTACAGATTTAGAGCTTATCACTGATCTACCTTTGCGCATCATTGTTAGATTCTGAAAAAGATCTCAAATTGTCGTTCTAAAATATTAAGTCCTCGTAAGAAATAACTCCCTGAAGGTTTGACAGACTTGAGAAATTGGTCAATAATGAGAAAGAGAGCAGAAATGACCTTACACTTAAGCAAACAAGTGTTCTGTTAAATCATGTGAATGGGTGTGAGTTAAAGGGCATTGGGAACCCCAGTCCAGTCACATCTACTTCACATGCCTGTCACTGATGCCAGGAATGTCATCTTTAGTAAATAAATTCCTTGAGTTGAGATTTTTGTCCCTTATTTGAAGGTAAGTGTTCTCAAGAGGAAAAAACCCACTAACACAATAGCAATCATCAACAGTTCAGTATAAATTAGTACATCAGTGTACTACTGCTGAGGGAGCACCTAGCAGTGGGAAGAGAGAGAGGAAGGGGCCATGAAAAGACAGATACAAAGCAGTAGGTGGAAAAGGCACGCTTCTGGAAGAGGTCTTAAAAGTCAGGATCAGCCTGAAGGCACTGTTCTTGCAAATAAAAAAGGTGTGAAGCGGTTCCAATGACAAAATGGACGGATTTACAATTCTCTACTTTATTGCAAATATCCTAAGGAACCTGTCTTACATCTTTAAGAAGAAACTGAGTATGCCTCATGTCTTCAGAAAATCTGTGTTGGCAAATTCAACTTAACCTTCTTGTGTTATGATTCCAGAAATAGCACTTTAAAGAAGGAAACTACTCAAGAGAAGGGAGTTTAGGCACAGTCCCTGTGACTACCATTGGCCAAAACAGAAAATACGACCATAACATTAAACTACTCCATTCAAAGTGATAATGATATCATTAACACCCTGATAACTCCTTCCAGATCCCGTCAGGCTAAAGCCAACTGGATCACAGAGGTCAGGGTTTAAATAGATGCAGTACTCACTCGAAAGACCTTCTCCACTCTTGCAATGCTTTTCCCAAAGATGGTTCCAAGTTGGTCTCCAATTCCAGCCAATAAGAAACCAAAGAGTGGAATTCCAAAGATGGCATATAAAATACAAAAGATTTTGCCTCCTTCAGTGCTTGGAGCAATATTCCCATACCCTGGTGAGAAATATTAAAAAGAGAGAAGGAGAGTGGTGAGGTAGCAGAGAAATTAAGAGCACTGAACCAAAGATCCCACAGACTTCTGAAAGGGTTCCTACATCCCCCCACTTCATGAGCTTTAGGGAGCAGAACTTCATTTCAAAGGCCCTAGGAAATTCAGAACATTGTCCCATTGCTTCTCTTCCTTCTCTCCTCATAAGGAGTTTTAAGGAGACCCAGGTTTCCTGGATCTTAATCTATTTAGTTTGATTACATTTTAGGAAATTTGTGGTCACCCAGAATTGCGTTTCTGATGGAAAATGGTACCCTTTCAGAAACACCAAACATTATGGACATGTCTGGTTTAGGGAGACCTGAACACCTGAGAAGCACTCACCATTGACCTTTTTAGATTTGAAAAGAGCTTCTCCCTGACAGTCTCATCTCATGGGTGTCCCCTCCTCCTGACAGTGGCTGTCTTCAACACTTGCCTTCATAGGGTGATGGGTGCTCTGCCTTAAGGAGGGTATGTGGGCTAGTATATATTCAGAAAGGACCCATGGATCACACAGCCCTACCTTGGGAAGCCTGAAAACAGTAAAGAGTGGGGTAGAGAAGACCTTATGCCTCTTTCCCCCACTGACAGTGGCATTTAGCTTTGCCTGGCTCTCTTTTTCTCTTTACTGGGAAGTCTGCATCATCTCTGAGGCCCGCCTCTCCTCCCACCCACTTCTTGCACTGAGGGTTACCAGGTGCTAAACAAATGTTTGTTGGTGGAATGGACGTTTGAATTACCAAAGAATCCTTTCATAGCCTGTTCTATTAACACGTATTTCAGATTTTTGTTGTTAGTGCCTTAGAGTCGATTCTGACTCCTAGTCCCTGTGTATAGCAGAGAAAAACGCTGCCCCATCTTTTTGAACCATCTTTTCATCTTCTGGTGCTATATCAGACAATGCTCCACTGCTATTCATGGGTTTTCATGGTCAATTTTTCACAAGTGGGTGGCCAGATCCTTCTTCCCAGTCTGTCTCAGTCTGGAAGCTTTGCTGAAACCTGTCCACCATGGATGACCCTGCTGGTATTTGAAATCCCGGTGGCATAGCTTTCAGCATCATAGCAACATTAGCCACCACAGCATGACAACTGACAGACGGGTGGTGTGGTTCCCTGACCAGGAAACAAACCCAGGCCGTGGCAGTAAGAGTGCTGAATCTTAACCACTAGATCACCAGGGCTGGCTGTATTTCAAACAGTGCTTTGAAAACATCAACATCTGCATTCTTAAGAGTTCTGCAATTACATAAGTAACTCAAGTATAGTGAGTACCGGGCTTACAGTAGATGAATGGGACTAAAGAAAGTAGTGCTGGAGGAAAAAGTCTTCTGGCATCAGCACAACTTGTATAGAGATGAGAGTGTAAATTACTTGATATTCACTTTCATGCCAAGGAGAATTGCAATATTATGCTAATAGATAGTCACCTAACTATTCTCCCATATTAGGGTAACTCACGTGGGGCCTGTTTCTAAAGCCATGCAATGGGTGAGTTAGTGGGATCATGGTTCCCAGCACGTTGGGTAAAGAATAATGTTGATGGTTGGTCTGTTGTTCATCCTCCTATGGGCCTGAAGATTCACTGTTTCTTCCTCCTTTTGGGTGATGAGTCACCTGGCTATTTTCCTTTACAACTTTTTAGTCAGAATCATTTAAACCTCTTATCACAAATTATCTAAATTACAGTTCCCACGTCCTAGACGAGTGTTCAGGCAAGCCTTCCTAAACTGGCCTTTCTTTTACTCACCACCATTTCGATTTAGTTGCGCAAAAAAAGCTCTTGGAAGTTTTTTCAGGAGCTTTCAGAAACTTGGACAAAACCATTTTTCTAAGTATTCCTCTCTAGAATAATCCAACTTACATCAACATAGCCCTATTGGACAGAGAATAAATGTGCCTACACAGCTTGACATTATGCAGCTTTAGGGTGACTCGTGGCAACATTCTAGTAACCTGTGGAAACATTTCTGACTCTTACTTGACTGTCTCATAATAGCCTGCTCACTGTCAGGGAACGTAGGGGCTTTTTCAGTCTGAATATCTCAGAAGGAAACGTATTGCAGACACTGGAAAACAAATTGATGTTTTGAACCTGCTGAATCAGCATCAGATTTGCCCTGACAAGTGCTGCACACCCTCCCTCCAGCTTTCAGAGAGGATCTGCCCCACCGCCCTGGCAAGGTACCGAGCTCAGGGAACATTCCGGTGTCATCCAAGGAGCATGAGAGAGAAGTGAGAAGACGGACGTTCCAGATCCAATTCCACCGCATTCCACCTGGTTGTCCTTAGACTCACTTCACCTCCCTAAATCCTAGTGCTGGAGGGGTTCACGGACAATGTGGAAAACACCAGTGAACTGTAAAGTTCTAAACCAATGCAAAGGAGTATGGGAGCCATAGTGGTAGTTTTACAACAGGCTCGTCCTTTGTTCAGTGTTCACAGACTAGAACATTAAAATAAAATGAGAGCCAAGCTCTTAGGTAAGGGCATTCATGAAGTAACACTGAAATAAGTCTTTAAATATATTTAAGGCCAACACTTCATATTGGACACAAAGTCATCGCCATTCTTGAGTAATGCTGTGTTTTGTGCATGGGTGAGTATGTGTGTGTGTGTGTGTGTGTCTGTGTGTGTTTGTGTTCCCTGCCTCTGAGGAACTGTGTGGAAAGACTGTTCCAGACTGACCCTCAATCCTGTCATTCCAGAAAAATCCCCAAACTTATACTTTGGAGCTTAGCTCTGAGGCAATGGGAGGGCCACATTCCTGGATTTTTGGCTCTAGTTGTACCAGGCCTGTTAGACTACCCTGCCCATCCTTCCAGAATCCTTGGTAGAGCTTTGCAGTAAGGTGGAACAGCTGTACACAGGCTCCAGAACCAGAGATTACCGGGATTCCTGTTCTGACTTTCCCACTTACTAACTCTCAGGTCTTGGGCAATTTACCTAACCTTTCTACCTCACTTTCCTCTTCTGAGAGGTGGGGCTATTAATCACACCTACCTTATAGCTATTAAAAATGAAATGGGTTACACGTGAAGATTAAATACACGTGAAGCATGACACAAAGCACGCACTCAGTGTTAGCAATTATCATCTCGCCCCGGGTTTTCTGTGGGAAGGCTTCGCTTCTGAGCAATGTGTCTCCAGGAAAACTAAGCTCCAGGAGAAAACAGATGGTTGGTTCCTGTTCTCCCTTTGGAAACTCTGCCATTCTCCCACAGCGCCAGGACAAGGGACAAAATGTCTATAACTCAGGCTGGGCTGGCTCAATGACTTGGGTGGGCCCAGGGCTGGCTTTGAGGTGTGGGTATCTCTTGGTGCAGCTGGGGGCAACAAAGCCTGGAAAATGAGAAGGGGTGACACAGGCTCTAGAGAGGCAATCAGTCAGGTAGAACTGGCCCAGGGCATTAGAATGGATTTAAGTAAAGCAAAAGACGCCCCAAGGAGTTATCCTACCAACCGGCTTCTGGTGACTTTCGGCAGGAGATGACCAGCCCAGCAAGGACAGTCTGTTATGAATGAGAAGGACCAAGGTGGGGCTTAGTCTGTTCACTCCTCTCTAGAAAACACAAGCCCTTTATGAAGAGAAACCTGGTGTTTAAAGAGGACTTAAACCTGAGGAACATACACATAACACTCCTCCTTGCTCTTGACTTGCCAAAGTCAAATCTTTGCCAAACCACATGCTGTTCAGCTCTGGTATTTGGTTAAGAGTGTGCGTTCTAGAACAAGTGTCTATACATGCAAGGCTGGTTTTACGAGTGTACAACCTGTGCAGTCACATAGGGCCCCCTCCATGCTTGGTTTATTGCTCTGCCATTGCCATTTTGATGTTCTTAATCATTTTTCAGCAAAGGACCACATTTTCATTTTGTATTGGGTCCCACCCACACATTATGTAGCTGGTCCTGGCGAATGATGCCAGGCTCCATTGCTTACTAACCATGATATATTGAGCAAGTTACTTAATGCTTCTTGTGCTCAGTCTTCTCTTCAGTAAAATGAAGCTAATAACAGCCCCTACCTCAAGGGGTTAATGCGAGACTAAGAGAACGTATGTGGAGCACAGTGCCTGGCACCCAGTAAGCACTCAGTAAATGTTAATCACAGTGATTGCTATTTCCAAAACCATGGGTGAAGCATCCAATTCACACGCTGGTTAAGTAGAAATAGCTGCCCAGGTACCTTGGCAGGTACAACTCTTAATGGAGGCCACCAGGCAAATAACACAGTTACTGGCTACCATCTGAGACCCGACCAGGGGCTCTCACCAAAGTCGGTAGAGTCAAGTGACTCAATCCAAAAATGCTCAAAGACTGAAAATCTACTTGCATTCCCTAGTTTTTGGTCAGAATGCTGTCATTTGCTGCCCTTCCCCAAGTGATGGTTTGTAGAAGAGCATCCTCACAAAGCAGTATCATTCCTCCAGCTTAGGAAAGCTAGTTGCTGGGGCCCAGCCAGTGGAGTCAACATTCAAGGGCTGGTGGGACTTTCTCATGCCAGCACTAGTTACTGAGAAAGGGGACAGGGTGCAGGGCGCCCTCAACAGAGACTGAGCAGCGTCTAGTCTTTCTTCTGGCGTGGCTCCTGGTTTGGAGAAGTGCCTGAATGCATTCCCTTTTGCTATACACTTGTAAATCTTTCTGTATATCTGAGCACAAGAAATGCTTTTTAAAAAAGAAGTGCTTTGATATCTTCAGATGAAAGGAACCTCTGATCCTGAGTGGTATCGCTGCATTTCAGAAAAGACTCTATTATTCCTAAGATCTCCCTATACACGTTCTAAATAATGAACATTTTTTGGTGTCTGAAAAGTACATAACGTCATGCAGCTCATGAGAGTCTTTCTGGAAAGTAATTTGGCAAGACTTTAAAAGATCCATGCCCTTCCACACAGCAATCCCTCGGGGATCTTTCCAAGGAAACAACCAGAGATGAAGACCACACTTTAGGCACAAAGG